GACACATTTGGGAAGTAAAGTAAATGAGAATCTATGTTAGATGAAAGTGAGATATTCTCCCTCAAGGAGTACGTAGTCTAGAGGAAGAATATGAAGAATGAACAAAAAGGAATTCTGTTTTTTGCCCAATGACCGAAACGTAGACTAGGAAAAGGAAAGTGGCAAAAGACGAGGCTAACACTAGATCATGAAAGGTAAGGACTGACCTTTGTTCCTAAGGTATTAGTCATGTACAGAATTTTGAGAAAAGAAGTGGCATGATTTAGAGCAAAGAAGTGACTGTGAGTCATTAGTGGACTGCAAATCAAAACAACAATACCACTTCACACCCACAAATATAGATGGCTATAATAAAACAAACAAGTGTTGTGAAGATGGGGAGAAACTGGAACCCTCGTGCATTGTTGGTGGGAATGTAATATGTGCACCTTGCTTGGAAAACAGTGTGGTAATTCCTCAAAACATTAAACATGGAGTTAGCAATTCCACTCCTAGTTACATACTCAAAGGGTAAAATGGCACAACTACTTTGTAGAACTGTTTGGCAGTATCTTATAAAGTTAAACAGGCATCTATCCTATGACATCTCAACTCAACTCTTATTTACTCAAGAGAAGTGAAAACTTATGACCACATAATTGTATAGGAATGTTCATAGCACCTTATTCATAACAGTCCAAAAATGGAAAACTATTTAATGTTCATCAACTGGAGAACAGATAAACAAAATGTGGTATATTTATACAACAGAATAATACTCAGCAATAAAAACAAACTGATAGGTACAGCAACATGGATGAACCTAAAAAAAATCATTACCTTGATGGAAAGAAGACAGTTACACACACACACACACACACACACAAATACCATGCTATAGGATTCTATTTATATACAGCTGAAAAACAGGCAAAACAAATCTGTCATAGTAGAAAACAGAACAGTGGTTTTCAAGGCAGAGTAACTGGAAAGGGGCACAAAAGAACACTCAGTGATGAACATAATCTTGGTGGTTATACAGGTTTATAACATTATCAAAACTAAACAAAATGAATACTATGCATTTTATTGTATATAAATCTATCCTAATTAAAAAAGAAATAATCTATAATAATAAAAGCATAATATGCTAATCAGAAGTCCTTCTGGACAAAGCCGCCACGGCGGGGGCTGAGGCAGAGGCAGTTAGGGGTGATCCTTCTGGACAAAGCCGCCACGGCAGGGGCTGAGGCAGAGGCTGTTAGGGGTGATCAGGCAGGCAGGCAAACAGTTAGGGACAATCAGGCAAGTGGTTAGGGGCGATCAGGCAGGCAGGTGAGTGTTTAGGTATGATCAGGCAAGCAGAGTGGTTAGGGGTGATCAGGCAGGCAGGTGAGCAGTTAGGGGCATCAGGCAGGCAGGCAGAGTGGTTAGGGGCAATCAGGCAGGCAGGCGAGTGGTTAGGAGCCAGCAATCCCTGATTGTGAGAGGGATGTCCGACTGCTGGTTTAGGCCTGATCCCACTGCTGATTCAGGCCTAAACCAGCAGTCGGACATCCACATCCCCCAAGGGGTTCTGGATTGCGAGAGGATGCAGGCTGGGCTTAGGAAACGCCCCCCCCCATGCATGAATTTCATGCACCAGGGCTCTAGTAGTATATAAAAAAATAAAAGTTTTACTAATATATTCATGGATGAAGTAGTACAATGTTGGGGGCAGTTTTTAAATATTCCAGAACAAAAAACTGGGAGTCAGGTAAAAGAAAACTAGCATATGCTGATAAATGCTGAACCTAAATGATATGTACACCAGGTTTATATTATTCTCTTTAGTTTTGTATATGTTTAAAAATTCACATAATGAAAAGTTAAAGTTATTAATTCATAAATAAGTAACTATTTCTTACTGTAGTTCTGTGGCACAAGTTCCGGGCTCTTAGGAGTTTTCAACTTGTAGGATACATTTCCAATACTAACTGTGTCACCTAAAGAGAATAAAGAAACACAAGCATTACAAGAGACAAATAAGAAAAACATACCCTATGCCTTCCCCAACAATGATTCTCCTGACCTACAGAGAGGGATATTACAAAATGTAACACACATCAGTCTCTGTCAAGCACATAAATGCTATACTCTAAACCAGTCCGCAGACCACTGGTAGTCCATGAGGTCTGAAAGATTGGCGACTGCTGCTCTAAACTTCTATCCAAGGTACAAGTTCTGGAAAGAAGTGAAGCATCAGTGAATTTCACACTTTAAATGCTATATTAGCAAAAAAGGTGAAATACAATAAAATATGCATATTAACCAGCTTTATTTTCTCATTAGTAGCAATACTAATAGAGTCAATAACAACACAGAAGGAAGTATTTTGTTTAGGATCATCCAAAGCATCCACAGGGGTTAAGGTATATCTGCAACCTTTTTAGGTTCTTATTTTTACTACATACAACTTCAAGTTCGCTAGCAACATAACCCCAAAATTCAATATTTCTGGGTACAAAAATGAACAAAAGCCCAGTGGCATGTGTACTAAGAATTCTACATGAAACAAAACAGAGCAAAAGTTCTCAATAACTTCTACATGGTTCTAGTTTTTTTTTAAGTAACATTAATTTCTGGTTTATCTTCTAAAGTGCCAGACTAAACTGAACAATCTCTGCTTTGCTCTCTCCAACAGCAAAATAGGCATATTGATACCATCTGCACCTGGAACTTCATTTGGAAAGGGCTCAAAGACTCAGTAAAAGAAGCTGTGACACATCTTTTCACACTGCCGGGTTTCAAGCCAGTAAGATACCTGGAGACTAAGGTCTTAAGTCATGGTAATAATAACAACAGTCAACACTTGTTAAATGATTACTATCTTCTAAGTACTTCACGCATTCCCAAAATAATCCCATGAGACAGATTTTACAAATAAAGATTTTGTAAATCTGTGGGGAAAATAGTTTTAGTAGATGAATAAATATATTACAGGGATGTGTTAAATTGACAGAAATATAGAAACACTGTGCAAAACCCAAGTATACTTTCTGATACAGAAGATAAATATTTAGAGTTCACCTGTACAAATCAAAAGAATTTTCCTCTGAACTAGTCTACTCTGTCAGAGGCGTCAGGCCTGGGCAAGGGGCCGATCCTGCGATTGGAGGGGGATGCGGGTCAACGCCTGAGGGCTCCCAATATGTGAGAGGGGGCAGGCTCGGCTGAGGGACACTCCCCCCCCCCCCGACACACACACACACACAGTGCACGAATTTCATGCACCGGGCCCCTAGTCTAAAATAAGAACATTGCCATAAGTGACTGGGGGGATAAGCAGGCAGCCTCTGTGTAACTCCCTCATGATTCATTTAGTCTATAATAAGAACATTGCCATAAGCGACTGCTCCTGCAGCCTCTGTGTAACTCCCTCATGATTCATTTGGGTAGGGGCATTTAATTAGCCAAACCTAAGTTACTGTCCATAGCCTCGCTGCCATGAGGCAGGTCCCTGTGATTTCTAGAGTGGACTCAAAGCCCTGTTTCCTGTCAAGGCTCACAACAGGAGATTCCACCTCACTCTCCATCCCCTTTCCCTCTCCTCCTTGCTCCCTTGTCTCCTCTATTTTCCTCCTACCTCACACTAACTTCTCAAGTCATCTTTGCTTTCTCTTCCTCTTAATTTCTTAACATTGGGTGCAGAGGCCCAGTTCTAGCCTCTTTTCTATTTTATCTATAACCTCTCCTTGATGTATTCACCCAGTCTTATGCTTTTAAGTGCAACTAATATATATTGTTGATTCCAAGTTTATATCTCTAACCCAGACCACAGAACTCCAAACATCCATACCAACAGACAATGAGATGCCTAATAGTCAACTTAAACTTAACATTCAAAACTGAACTTCTGCCTAGCCGGCCGGCGTGGCTCAAAGGCTGAACATCGACCTATGAACCAGGAGCTCGTGGTTTGATTCCAGTCGGGGCACATACCCAAGTTGTGGGTTCAATCCCCAATGGGAGGTGTGCAGGAGGCAACCAATCGATTATTCTCTTCCATCACTGATGTTTCTATCTCTCTCTCTCTCTTCCTCTCTGAAAATAAAACAAAAAACTGGACTTCTGATCTTCCCACAAAATGTGCTCCATCCACACAGTATTCCACAGTTCTGCTGATGGCAATGTAATCCTTCCAGTTACTCAAACCAGAAATCTTGAAGCCATTCTTTTTAGTTTTGTTTACTTGTTAATCCTCACGGAGAGGCGGGGAAGGGAACATCAATGTTAGAGACACATCGAATGGTTGCTTTCATGAGAGGATGGAATCTGCAACCTAGGTATGAGCCCTGACCTGGAATTGAACCTGCAACCCTTCAGTGGCCTGGTCGATGCTCTAACAACTGAACCACACTGGCCAGGGCTCTTGCAGCCATTCTTAGCTCTTCTCTCTCATACTCCATCAGAAAATCCCATTGAATTGGTCTTTAAGATATATCCAGTATCATCCACTTTTCATCACATCCTCTACCACCACAATGAGGACCCAAGTTAGAGGTTTACTAGTTAAATCATTTTCTCATTTAAACAGCATTCTCCCTCACCTCCTCACAGATCTCCTGTTTCAAACCTTGCACCCTACAGTTTATTTTCAACAGAGTAGCCACAGTGATCATAATAAAATAGGAATCAAGTAACGTCAGTCCTCTGGTCAACCCTCCAGTCTTTGCAATGGCCTAAAAGGCTATTCTGATGAGGCTCCCCCATTTCCTCTCAAACTTCATTTCCTCCTCGTGTCCTCCTCACTTAGTCTACTCCAGCCTCACTATTCCTTAAACATGTCAGACACATACTCATTTCAGGCTTTTGAACTGGATTTTCCCACTGACTGAAATGCTTATCCTAAACATATCCATTTATCAATCAGGGTCCCAGCAAGAAACAGATGGTACATTCAAACTGAGAAACTGAGGACAGCATAATAAAGAAACCATGTATGCAGGTCTGGGCAGAGCTTAGGAAAACCAACAAGAATGGGACTAGCAGTAACAGAAAGCCACTACCACCCCTAAACCTGGAGGCACAAGAGAAAGAGCAAGCAGAGGAGGTATATTTAGAAAGTTTCCTAAAAGGAGCTGTGACTCTTTGTGAAGGAACACAGCAAACCTATGGTGGTGACCTGGCCAAGAGGGTGCTGAGGAATAAGCATGAACCAGAAACTGGCAGAAGTAAAAGTAGAATTGACAAATCCAAAATCATTCGGATTAATATATTAATACTAGAGGCCTGGTGCATGAATTCATGCACCAGTGAGGTCCCTCGGCCTGGCCTGCGGGACAGGGCCAAAACCGGCTCTCCAACATCCCCCGAGGAGTCCCGGATTGCGAGAGGGCACAGGCCAGGCCAAGGGAGCCCACCCAGGCACGATTGTGGCCAGGGAAGGACGCAGGAGGTTGGCCAGCCGGGGAGGAACCATGAGAGGGCTCTAGGGCGTGTCCAGCTGGTCTCGCTCAGTCCCAATTGGCTGGACCCCCAGCAGCAAGCTAACCTACCAGTCGGAGCGTCTGCCCCCTCGTGGTCAGTGCACATCATAGCAACTGGTCGACCAGTCAACTGTCTGCCCCCTGGTGGTCAGTGCATGTCATAGCGAGTGATTGAGCAACCTTAGCATATCACTAGCATATTACACTTTGATTGATTGAATGGACGACCGGACACTTAGCATATTAGGCTTTTATTAGATAGGATATTTCTCTTAGTGCTGACAGAAGAGTGTGGCGTGGGGAAAACAGAAGGTAGGGAAGTAAAGACAATCACTTCTTAACCTTTTGGCTAAGATTAAGAATAGAAGTAAGGATAGAGAGGATATGAAAACACTATTAGCCACTCAACCTAATTCTACTCATCAAGAGCAGAATACATATTCTCTTTAATTGTTCACGGAACAGTCACCAAATTAGATCACAGGCTGGACCATAAAGAAAGAATTATTAAATTTCAAAGGACTAAAATCATACAAAGTATGTTCTCTGATCAAAATGGAAACAGTAACAGAAAGATCTAGAAACAACTAGAAAGTCTCTAAACATTCAGATATCAAGCAACAGGCTTCTTTGAAAATCCAAAATAAGAGCCCGGGCTGGTGTGCTCAGTAGTTAGAGCATCAGCCCAGACTCCAAGGGGTCTATATTCAATTCCCAGTAAAAGGCATGTACCAATGCAGGTTTGATCCCTGGTCCAGGTCATGGTGCGTGCCAGAGGCAACTAATGGATGTGTGTCTCTCTTATTGATGTTTCTCTCTCCCCCCCCAACTCCTCCTCCTCCTCCTCCTCAGTCCCTCCCTTCCACTTTCTCTAAAAATCAATAGAAAAATATGCTCAGGTGAGGATTAACCAAAAATAAAAAAAAGTAACCAAATGGCTATGGTTACTTTCTCACCTAGAGGCTGTTGTTAAAGTGTTAAATGTGTACCTGTGCTCAGATCTCTCTCCTGAATTCCATATCTGTCAATAACCTACTGGGCATTTTAATTAGACATTAGAGACACTTCAACTTTAACATGAGAAAAACCAAACACTATATTCTCTGTTGTGTACTGTCCAGCCATCTCTAACCAGCTCTACCTCTTGTATTCCTTTCTCAGTGACTGATTATTTATTTCCTCAGCCTAGAACAGTGATGGCAAACCTTTTGAGCTTGGCATGTCAGCATTTTGAAAAACCCTAACTTAACTCTGGTGCCGTGTCACATATAGAAATTTTTTGATATTTGCAACCATAGTAAAACAAAGACTTATATTTTTGATATTTATTTTATATATTTAAATGCCATTTAACAAAGAAAAATCAACCAAAAAATGAGTTTGTGTGTCACCTCTGACACGCGTGTCATAGATTCGCCATCACTGGCCTAGAAGACCCTTCAAATCTCTCACACCACTTTCCTTTCACACAACTACCCCTCAAATATCTTCACCTCCCCACTGAACCTTCCCAAACTTTTCCTTTTGCACCATTTCCACCTCCCACAAGAACTGTCACTCCATTCCCGT